CTTCTCAACTGTACAGACTATACTCTCTGATTAAAAATCAATTTTCTTCTTTAAATGTTGAAAAAGTTGATCATGAGAAGTTATCTCTCTGAAGAGAAAAGCTTGAATGTCTTATAGACTTATAAATAAGTGAACTATTAAAAGAGAAAGAATATGAACAGCATTTAAAGAGAATTTCTACAATCAATATAAAAGACTCTATTCTGATTTATTCAGATGGCTCAAAAAATGAGAATTTGAATAGATTAGACTCAGACATTGCTTATACTGAAGATAATATCAATTTTATCTCAGATTTCTGAAATCTAGGCTGTGAATCTGAAGTCTTTGATGCTAAACTATTTATAATAGTGAAAGCTTTCAAACTCATTGAAATAAAATCTCATAAAAGAGAAAATTGTTTGAAAGAGATATAAATATTCTCTGATAGTCAAGCTGCTTTAAAAAGACTTAGAAATAGTCAGATTCATAATAATCAAATAAATCTTGAACTGATCTTAAACTCTGTTTTGAAAATTTAAAAGAGAAGAATATCAAAGCTGATAATTCATCTGCACTGAGTTTCTGCTCATATGAATATTCATGACAATGAATTGACTGATTCAGCTGTAAAAAAGGGTGCAGAATTAAGCAGATCTATTCAAAAAATTGTGTCCTAGTATTTTATAAAGAGAAAAATAAAAGAATCTTGTTTAGATAAGTAAAATGAAAGCTGGCAGAAACAAAAGAAGAGTATACATTATTCAAGATTTGAAACAAAACTCAAGTGAAAATCTTGTTCAATTAAATGTAAAAAGCAAATATTCTCATCTATAATACAGCTGAAACTAGAACATGACTATTTCAAATCTTATATACAAAGATTTAATGATAGATTTGACTCAATAGAATGCTCATTCTGCAATACAAATGAGAATTCTGAGTATATTATAATGCACTGTGCATTATACAATAGTCTCAGAGCCAGATTGAAAGAGAAGTATAATCTAAATCAATTAAATATAAGATTCTTATTCTCAACTGAGACAGGAATTAAATACTTAATAGACTTTCTATCAGAAACTCAAGCAGCTGTAAGAAAATGACTAAATTCAGAATTATCTGAATATGAAGAGAAGGAAATCAATCAGATATAGTCTGTTAAAACAGCTATATACTATCTTTTAATAATTTGTTTTGTTACAGTCTTTCTTTACTTTATCTTTTTCTTTTAATTTCTTTCTGTCTATCTATTTAATGTGTCTATCTTTAAGACTGTGTTCTATTTTCCTTTGTCATGATATTGTCAAATGATTTCAAAGTATCAGAAGATGTTAAAACACTGCAATTTGTAAACAGTTTTTATAGTCTGAGCTGGAATTTTCTGATTTTGCATATCTGAAATTGATGAATGTATAATAGTTAACTTTACAGATATAGGGAAAACCCTGAGAACTAAAAGTTCTTAGATAGATGTCATAGTCTCTGACTGCATACATCTATAATTGAAGAATAATAATAATATTCAATATTCAGATATAAAGTCTTATATAATAGTTCTGAAAGTTTAAGTAGCTGTTTACTATACTTCACAGACTGTATAAAGATTATTATTCTTGAATTCATTATTTAGTCCCTTCAAAATAATCATAATAAAGAATGAGATGAAATATATCTCAATTATTCAAGTTCTTAATCAACTTAATATTTATATGAATATAGTATTTGAATCAGGTTCTGATCTGCTGATATATAAGAGTCAAGATCAGTATTTTCTTCATCAGATTATAAGAATCAAAACTGAAGTTATTGAGATATAATTATATTATAAATCTTCACTGATTCAGACTAAGTTAGAAATTACAGCACATGATCAAGATCTTTTAAAAAGCATATTTTACTCTGATATACAAGTTATTTCCCTGTTATATCAATTATTTATTGATGAATTTGATTTATATCAGAACATATACTGAAGCTTAATAGATTTTTATATAATTTCTATACTAAGTACTGTTAAATGCTTGAAGTGAAATAATATTTTTATTCTAATCTTTGATTCTTATAATATTAATTTTCTTAACACTGTCACTGTATTATTATATAACTTATCTATATTAAATTATGAGAGAGTTATAATGAATATCAGTAAAGAAAAGATGAGAATTATTATATTTTATCTTGTATTTCTTGAAGATATGCTGCAGTAAAATAGTAATATAGAGATTAAAGACTCAACTGTATGAAGATTATACTGAAGCTGCTTTATTAATGATAAAAATTAGCTGAATCTGAACTATAATCTATATAATAACAGCTGATTTTATTATTATATATAATATCTTCAGTCTAAACTGAATAATCTGCTGAATCTCATATATAGAAAGTAAATATATCAAGAGCAGAGTATAATAATATAGACAGTATCTTCTTTTTAAATATACTTAAGTTTGAATTTAATCTTCTTTTTTTCTTCTGATTTATATTATAGTGAGTTTACTGATATATTAGAGATTTCACACTTATTACTGATCAGTACTGTCTTATCACTGTATAATTAACTAGAATACTTTTAAATATTACAGATATTCTTTTTTTCTCATAGTTAAAATTATCTATAGTCACTGATAACTTATCTCAAGAAGTATCAGCTTTAAGAACATACTTAAGCTTTAATCATTATATCTCTTATCTTGCAGTATAAGCTCAGAGAGAAATAACTCAGTCTAATAATTAAGTAGATTATTTCTATAGTATTTTCAGCATCAAATCAATCATCTATTAATCTTATTATTTAAATATATACAGTTATTATAAGAAGTAATAGTCTATTAATATTTCAATCTCTGAGAGAAAATGATTCTGAAGTCACTTATTAAATTATACTTACAGTCTGTTAATAGTTATAATTTCTTATTAAAGTCATAGTAAGAGTAGCAGTACTATTTAAATTATTCTAAGCTGATTCAGTTATTATTCATCAGTCATCTTCTGCTTCAATAATAAACACAGTTACTATATATATCAGTGATTATATTAAAAAAGCAAAGCTTATATAATATATAAAGAGTCAGTTGAATATATATATTAATTTACACTATATTAAGCTGAGTAAAGAATATACTATATTTAATAACTGTAATATTCTGATAGAGAAGAATAAGTATTGAGACTATAAAAATCTAGTACAGTGAATAAATTATCAGAATATAAAGAAGATACTACTCTTATAAAAGAGCTTTTATCACATCTTATAACTAGTATTAAGAGATTCTTTTAATAGATCTGACTTACATCTGATATAGATGATTTAACAGTTATATATAGTTTATTTAACACTGTTTAATAATCTTCTAATAATAAATAAAGAATTAGATAATAATAATAATTTATTAAACTACTTTATTAAGTTAGAGTTAATAAAAGATTATATTATTCTGAAGATTTTTAATCATCTATTATTAAGCAAGATAGCAGAGAAAGTTAATATATAATTTATAAATCTCTTAAAGCTTAAACTTCTTCACTTCTTTCTTAATAAGCTATGAGAATTCTATAATACTGATTAAAATAAGTTCTTAATTTTAAAATTAAATTATTATCTAATTCTTTTCTATAATAAGTTAATATTCTCAGTTCAGTATATCTATCAATCAATTAGTTATTAACTTATTACTAAGTTATAAATCAGAGATTATATTTATTAAATCTCTCTTATAAAAGAAGATATTATTTAATATTAAGAAACAGAGCTTAATCAGATTATAATTATATTTATTTATAAAATGAAAGAAGTTAAGTGAATTTTCTTTACACTTATTTCTCTATATTATATTATATATAATTATCTACTGAATCTGCTAATTTTACAAGAGAATTCTGATAATTACACTATTATCAGACTGCTGACAGTTTCAAAGACAGTATTATATAATATTCTAATACAGAATACTAATAAAAATGATAATTATTTAGTATATAAGTCTCAGATAATAAGATATTTATATGATAATTAAGATATCTTATTTCTTTAAATAGAATAGATAATTAATGAATAGCAGCTGTTATACTGAGTAATAGATAATTAACTAGCTTAATAGTATTGATTTTACTGATAGAACAGTATAGAATATTTTATAGTATCTTAGTAGTATTCTGATAGTGATATCTATCAATTACACAGTTACTGAGTAGTGTTATGATAATGTTAGAAAGTTCTGTACTGTCTCAATACTATCTTGATATTTAATATTCAGCAACATGTCACTGAATATAATGGTGGAACATGTGTTACAATCGGCAACACGTGACACAGGTGGAATGGTGGATCCACGGTGTAATCACCGTAAATTAACCCTACGTTCTTCCCATATGGATCCATGGATCCATTTAGTGTAACTCGCGTAGATAGATTACACACACAACACAACAACGTTATCCTCCAAGAGGTGGAAACGAGCGTTAGGTGGTTTGATCGTTACTATAATATTAGGGCGGCCCTATTGAAAATAAAAGAGTATACCAGCGTACAGATCTCTCAACATATTTCTAGAATCCTCTCACGGGTATAGAGTTCCCAGAGCGCCCCCAGGTATGGATTCCCTGGGTATAGAGACTGTCACAGGTCTATCTATCAGTCTCATTGATGTGTGCTCTTTGTAACGCTGGTATAACATACTCATTTGACCCAAATGGCGCTTATGCTGGGGGGTTTGCAGACGGGCGCTAACGGATATGTTGCCCGGCTGCCCGTGGACAGATTCTGAAGAATCATATTTGTTTTTTGAGGCCTGCCCCGTTCTTCAAAGTCTCCTGCCCGCCCTTTTTATTATAAGCCACGCGGTCCTGTCCTGACCGTTGTTGCCATTGACAACTTCCTTCGTGCCTCCTCCCCTTTTCGAGCCTCAGTTTCTTCAGTTAACTTACAAAAACTCCAATTCGTTCAATGGCCCGTGTTTTGTTGTTTGGTCTTTGTGGGTGCAACCAGAGCCGTTGACTTCTCTCTCTCAACCCCCGGTCGTGTGCAGTAGGACCTCTGTCGCTCTGGAGCATTCAATCTACATGCACATGTACTGTACATAAAACGCCGCGGTATCACTGCATTTTACACAATTGTAATACTCACTCCCTTCTCAGTTTCATCGAGTTCCCTCATGCCTACCCCACGAACCCCAAGGAGCAGCGATAGGTTCAACCTACTCATCCACAACCTCAATACAGCCTACGATTTAGACCTTCCAAACCCAGCTCTATCAACTCCAAGACGGCGGCCTGGAGATGAACGGACTTTGCCAGAAAGATGTGTTGGCCTTGCAAAGTTCCTCTACTACGATGACCCCGAGAAATTTGAACGGGTGGTGCTTGGCTCGCTTTCAGAGTGGATGAACGCGTTCCTGTCCAAGTGGGTCCCGAAGCCGAATCAAGAACCAGGAACGATGCCATCGCGATCATTCATTAATAGCAACACGATTTCCATGGCGAGGAATATCACTCCGGACCAGCGCGCAATCGTGCTCAACTATTTATGGAAAGTGCTCAGTGATGAGGAGTATCTGGTGAGAAAGGGGTCCTCTAGAATACCGAGAGGTGTAAATGTCGTCGCTCCTGTAGACGATAGGTTCGGGGGGGGATGTAGCTTAGAATCCCCAGCTGCTACTACCACTGGAGGTTCGATGACGGGATCCGGAATGACGCCCAGCACTCCCTCAGAAATACCACCAGCAGCAGCACCAGGCAAGATACCACCTTCTCCGCCCAAAAGAAAGGTCGTTACTGACGATTCCGAGGTATTTTTGACTGCTCCCAATACTCCTTCTAATCCGTTCCATACCATGTCATCATCGTTGTCTGATGATGAGTTTGGGAATTCCGATCTGGATGACCTTGATATCGATCTTGATATCGCTTCATTGGGCTTGGCTGATTCTTTCGACGATAACCAGAAAAAAAATGGCCCAAAACAACGGAGGATTGATGAATTTATGACGTCTTCCAAGAATGTCCAGAAATCTATGGGGGAACAAACTGAACAGCCGCAGAAAGATGAAAACACAAGTTTTGAAACAATGACTACTGAGCAACCAAACTCCTTTGGACCTAGCTTCGCATCCAGTACTCCTGCAACCTCCTTTTCAAGGAGCTTCCAGACCGAGGAGTTAGAGTTGGATGAGCCATCTCAATATACTTCAACCGTTAGGCCGCCCTCAAATAATATCTTCGCATCCTCGTGGGATAATGAAGACACCGAAAGTCCATCAAAAGGTCCACTATCCGTGCAACGAAAAACAGAACATGATTGGCGAGAGCAAAAAATTCACAAAATTATCCGAGAACTAGAAGAGGAGGGCCCATTCTCGAGTCGGAACATGATAAAAACGACTGTTCCACTACGCTACAGATATGAGGCCCAAAGAGCAGCCACTTTTCTTAAAGTTCCGGTTGAAGATATTCTCCAAAAGCTGGATCGGCGGAAGCTACCCGAGTATGAAGACCTCTGGAAGGATATTCATAACGGTAGGCCGTCGAGCTTGGAAAAAACAACACAAGAAACATGGGATATGGCAGTGGACCAATATGAGGACCGAAATTCCACTGGTGATGTGGTGACATTGAGCTGTGAACTGGAATGGTGTTCGAACAAAGAACCAGGTTTTTTGAAGCTTACTTTAAACCCTTTGAAATTTATGAGGGGTTATCGATTTAGCCGACGGTTTGGATCAGACCGTTTCCTTGAAGTGACGTACCCAACTGTGGCAGAGCCACCACCACACCTTGTTCGAAAAGATGACGAGGTGGAAAAGGAGATATTGCTCGAAGCGATTTCGCGTTGGATGGCGACGAGTGTACATCATTTGGTGGGGAGATTCTGGAGGGGCTTGTATATTGAAGATATTCAAAAGAAGCCGAAAAAGTCCGCCAAATACGATGGAGTCGGTGTGAGCCCAAAGGTTTCTATCAAGCAAAGGGCATTTTTCTTTGGAACTGGTGGGATTGACTTCCGTACAGCCAGGGGCCCTCTGGACATTCCTCCGCATGGCGAAAAATCTGGGCAACGCACCAGTATGAGTATCGATGCATTGATTAATTGGCATATGCCCAGAGCCGAAAAAAACAATCAAAAATCTGACCTTAAACTGTTTCAACGACTCCAACTTGGGCTGTCGCGGACTTTGAGCACGGTTGTCCTGCGACGGGATGAGATAGTGTATTTGAAGGACCCCCCTCCACCTGTAATGAATGACGGCTGTGCGCTGATGTCTAGGTCGCTGGGAATGGAAATTGCGTGCACCTTGGGGCTGGAGACAGTCCCAGCTATCTTTCAAGGAAGGATTTCCGGCGCAAAAGGGGTCTGGATGGTGGATCGTGACGACTCAAGGTTTAGAGTTGGTGATCGGAGATTTGGTCTTCAAATTACCGAGTCACAACTCAAAATCCACCCCGCTCCTCCGTATGATACAAGGCCCGTTGATGATACGCAGCTGGCCTTTGAAGTCGTTCAATGGTCACGGCCTTTAAGTCCTGCTGCCCTGAATTTGCAGCTCCTCAATATTCTTCAACACGGCGGCATCCGCAATGATCATATAAAAAGTTTGATTAAACAGGAAATGTCTTCCTTTTACGACGATTTTTTGGAAACCCTACGAGTTCCCAATGGTGTTGCGTGTCGCAGTTGGTTGCAAAAGATGAAACGGATCACCGATGAGAGCTACAAACGGCAAACCAAACGTACCAGCAATTATTTCCCGCCCCAATATGCGGAGCAGGCAGTTCTCCTTCTGGATGCTGGCTTTTTACCATTAAAACTACCCTATCTAACTGAATTATTTAAACGCCTTCTCCACGATTACTTAAATAATCTGAAAAATTTGAAGGTCAGAGTGTCTCAATCAACGTTCGCGTATTGCATTGCGGATCCCTTCGGAGTGTTAAAGCCGGATGAAGTTCATCTTGGGTTTTCCAGCGCATGGGAGCACGGCTCCGTCGGTACAGAGCTTCACGGCATTGATATCCTCCTTGCTCGCTTACCTGCACATCTTTCAACCGATATCCAAAAACGAAGGTCAGTTTACAAAAATGCGCTACGCCATTTTAAGGATGTGATAGTATTTCCCACAACTGGAGATACACCACTTGCCTCTCTGCTTTCTGGTGGCGATTATGACGGGGATCAATGTTGGGTCTGCTGGGATCCAATTATTGTGCGCGAGTTTAAGAACACCGAGTTCGATCCAAAAACGGTGCCATCGGAAGAAAGTCTTGGACTTCGCGACCACTCAACACGGATCAGTGAGTATGTGTCGACAGAAAAGTTTCTGGCCAATGCTTTTAAGTTCAATTTAAAATCGTCCAAACTGGGACCCTGCACCGTTGAACACGAAACTTTCTGTTACCACCAGAACAACATCAATTCTAGCTTGGGAGTCAAGTTGGCTTGGTTGCTTAGCTATCTGGTGGACAGCAGAAAGTCGGGGCGGGAACTGACGGATGATGCGTGGAAGAATTTACGGCCAAAATACCCGAATACTGTATTCACGGAGAGGAACCCGCTGCGTCCTGCTTACAAGAGCCTTTCAAACGGTTCAAATCCTTCGCAGTGGAACAGCAATAATCTCATCGATTATTTGCTGTTCGAGGTGATAGTAGCTGAAAGCAATCAAATGCTCGTCCGGTTCGGCAAATTTTGTCGCGAACATTGTGAGCTTCCAATCGATTCTCACCTAATTATCCCTTGGAACGAGGCAGAGGACAGGGCAATTAAGGAGAGGGATGAAAATAAGCCTGCTCTGTACGATGCTCTGAAGGGGCTTAAAGAGAGCGTTAGAGAAAAGAAAGCCAAGTGGGCTGGCTTGGTGGGGCCGAGCAAGATGTCATATTCCCATAAGATTACTGAAGCGGCTCAAATACTGCAGGAGATAGCGCCTCCTGATTTCGACCACCCTCTAGGCCACACGTGGGTGAATAGCCAGTACGAATGGGAAAGGCTCCGTGCATCATGTGCCTATAAGGAATGCCAAACTGATTTCGTGTGGTTCGCAGCTGGCCCGGTCCTCTGCGAAATCAAAGCCAAGGCTCTGGGGGGCGGCTCACGAACCATCGTGCCGGAGATCTATAGCATCTTGAGGGTGAACCGCAATTCGGCCAAGAGGGTGGTAGAGCGGGCAACGAGACGTAATGCGGGTGAATGGAGCGACGACGATGAAGACGAGGACGATGAATTTTGCGATATCGATGAATCCGTTCTTCTAGACCTAGGCCAAAGCATCTATAATTCTTCGTCTCACGGCAGCTCATCAAGTGGATAGGTTTTGGAAACAACTCCATGTTTTGCTTGATTTCCCAAGCCGAAGTCAAATTTCTTATTTAATTTTACCTCCTTTTCAATTTTTTTCCCCTTAATTCACGTTGATTTTTCCTTTACCTTTTAGTTTCCTTTTTCACCGCTATATACTAATTTTTGGCTTACAATGCTCAAGCTCTCTGCCATGTTCCATTTTCGGTAAGGTGATTATTTTCTTCGAGTGTTTTTTCCGATCATTCCTAGCCGTGTATATCAAGAGAGAGAAGAGCCTCTTGATTTTGATTTTCAGTGTGAATACAAACCATGAAAGTGTCACCTATGAAGTCTTCATCTTTCAGTTCCTCCGAGTTTGAGACTGCAGATACGCCAGCGTGATTAAATAAACGACTCATTGAAAAGTGTTGATGACAATCATGTTATTGGCTCATTATCCGCTACCTTCTTCTTGTACGTCTATGTCCCCTTCGATTTTCTTCCCTTGTCAGTGGCTAGATTCATTTTTGGGCATTTGAGACTACTTTGGAAAAGCAGGTGTTGAGAGTTTTTTGCTGTGTTTCGTTTCCCGCATCTACAGACTTTTCTTCTCTGTGTTGTCTCTGTTGTGTATTTCTTCTCTCTTCCTTCTTTTCGCTCTAATCTTGTATGTGAGTTGATGCAGAGACTCTATGATCTTCAGAAAGCAGCACTCTTATGATATAAGAAGCTGTGAAAAATGCTATTATATATAGGCTTTCATGTCACTCTCTATAATACTGAACTATTTATTCATGATGTAAGACAGATCTATATAATTATCTACATAAATAATATCTGTCTCTACAGTTTGAAAATCAATGATCTAAACTGAGTCAAAGCTGAAATCACTGCTAATTATGAGATCAGAAATGTAGAGAATTTGAATCAGTATTTAAGAATAAAGATTGATAGAGATTTAATATTCATTAATATTATCTTAATCTCTCTTTGTAAGAAATCTTCTGAAGAAATTCTTAATAAATGACTATCACTCTACATTCACTTCTATGAAGAAGAATGTTAATTTAATGAATAATAATAAGAAATCAATTTCATACAGAGTAGAATTTATTCTATAATTCTATTAATTCAGTATTAAATTTCTGTAATATCTAGTAATTAATACATATTCTAATACAAGCTTCACTACAGATTTTTTTAAATGATTAAGCTTTTAGTTTATATTAAAAAACTGAGTTATATTCAAGTGTATATTTCAATATCTACAGAGTTTAATCAAGAAAAATATAATCTATCACAGAAGTACTGATATTGAATCTATGATATATACAGATATTAATTGAGCTGATAGAGATTTAGAATCTTATTCAATCACTGATTATATTATCTATATAACAGATAGCTCTGTTATATGACATGACTGTCAGTAAACTGAAGTCATTAAATCATTAATGAAGACTGAATATATTGCATTCTCTGAGACTGTATATAAGCTTGTCTGTCTCTGTGAGCTTCTAGAAGATGCTGAATTCATTTCATCTCATCTTAATAATTTAAATACTGATAATTATCTCATTCTTATAATATTCAATAATCTTACTTATACAATTTATACTGATAATAAGTTTATCATAGAGCTATTCTTCTCTGAAGCAATTCTGCACTGCTTAACATATATAGAGATCTGTTTTCACATTTCTCAGAATCTTATCTGTAAAAATGAGATATCTATCTGATATATATCATCTGCTGAAAATGCTGTAAATAAGCTTACTAAACTACTTAAAACATTGAAATATACATATTAAAAGAAGAATATTAAGATGAAGAAATAGAAGAATAAAAAAATTATGAATCTCATAACTGATTTTTCATTACTATATGTTTTTCAGTTATTTTTTATACCTGTACTTGATTTGAAGGTGAATTTTATATACAGCATAGTGTATAGTTACTCTGATAAGTGTGAGTGTCAGATTATATAATCTAGCTTACTAATTCTTTCACTGTATAACTTCTTACAAGCTAGCAATCTTTTCAATAAAGCAAGCTTTACATCTTTTACAGATTGAGATATAGTTATACTATAAATCTTCATTAATTCAGTCTGAGTTGAAAATTACAGTATATAAACAAGATCTTTTGAAAAGCATGTGTTATTCCGATATATAAGTTATTTTTATACTATATTAATTATTAATTGATAAATTTAATTTATATTGAAATATATACTGAATCTTGATAAGTTTTTATTTGATTTCTGCACTAAGTGTTATTAAGTACTTAAAATGAAATAATATTTTTATTCTAATCTTTAATTCTTATAATATCAATTTTTCTGACACAGTTACTATTGTAATGTGACGGAACTGAAGTAGTGACTAGTCAGCAGTGTCATGTAGAGGTAGTTGTTTAAGAAGCTGTATAAGTGAGCTTAACTATCTTGCTTGAATAGTGAGCTTGTAGACTATAGAGTTATTATGAGAATATCACAGATATGATACTTAGTATACTAAAAAGATTGTATAAGATACACAGTAACTCTTGTATATATTTCAGTATAAAAAAAATGAATTGCTGACTTCTTTGATGAGAAGCCAGTATCTAGCTATTATATATAGATAATAAGCGGATATTCTTCTCTCATTTCATGAGTGAGAATAGTGAAAGTGATATCTCAGTGATATCTCACTGTTAAGAAAGAGTAATCTGCTGATCTTGTATAGAAGTAAGGTTCTCATATTTATTAATCAGATCTTTCTATGATATATCTGAATGATGTCATAGAGTGGTTGAAAACCGGTTCAAATGAAATGAAATCATCCGCATGAAAGCGATGGGCCGTGTGAAACCGCAGCAGGGCCTTAGCGCGGCCGGAAGCGTGATAACTATATTATCACATGACTTCTCTATATTGAATTGTGAGAGAATTGTGATAAATATTAATCAAAAAAAGATGAGAGTCATTGCATCTTACATTGTATTTCTTGAAAATATACTGCAATAAAATAGTAATGCAGAGATCAAAGAATTAATAATAAGAAGATTATATTAAAACTATTTTACTAATAATATGAATTGTTTAAATCTGAACTGTAATCTATATAATAACAGTTAATTTCACTATTATATACAATATCTTTAAGCTAAACTAAATAATCTGCTGAATTTCATACACAGAGATTAAATATATTAAGAGTAAGAAATAATATCACAGACTATATTTCTTTTTCAGATATATTCAAGTTTGAATTTAATCTCTTTTTTTCTATCTAATTCATATTATAGTGAGTATACTGATATATCAGAGATTTTATACTTATTACTAATCAGTACTATCTTATCATGTAAGAATAAGTACTCACAGGCAATTATTCAGATGTTTGCAGCTTGACATGATATGTACTGTTAACTACTAGAAGTATTCACAGTAGAAAGATAAAATGTAGAGATTAAATATATATTAGTATTCAAGCTGAGTTGTGAATAGTATTCAGAAACTGCAGTCTATATAGTTAGATATAGACTGGCCGCTGAGATCATGAATTTCACATTTGATTTCATTTGATCTGATCTCATACATTTCTTGGCATGAATCCCGCTGGGACTGGCTATCAAAAAAACAGGTAAAGTGACTATATATCAGATCTTAAAATGGAACCATGACTTGAAAAAAATGAGAAAGTGATTTCATTTAATCTCATTTAGTCTCATTCTTAGTATAAAGTTACTATTTTTAGACATTTTAAGGTTTTTTTTAGACTATTTTTAATTTTTTAAAAAGTAATGCTTTTTGATAACACTCAAATGAGATTTAAAGTTATTTAAAGCAATAAAAATAATTTAAATTGAGAAGTGGAAATCATGATCTCATTTGAAAAATGTGATAAGAGTAGACAGTAAGTTTCACTGAGACAGTATGAGACTACTATCTAATGTTAAAACCGTGTAATGAGATCAGTTGAATTGATAATGAGACTATTAAAAAATCTGGTTCTGGTTCCAGACATGGTCACATGGTCAGTCTAGTTAGATGCAGCTAGACTGACTGTCAGAATCATGAATTTTACATTTAATCTCATTTGATCTGATCTCATACATTTCTTGACATGAATTTCACTGAGACTAGTCATTAAAAAAACATGTAAAGTGACTATATATAAGATCTTAAAATGAAATCATGACTTGAAAAAAATGAGAAAGTGATTTCATTTGATTTCATTTAGTCTCATTCTTGGCATAAAGTTACTATTTTTAGACATTTTAAGGTTTTTTTTAGACTATTTTTAATTTTTTAAAAAGTAATGCTTTTTAATAACACTCAAATGAGATTTAAAGTCATTTAAAGCAATAAAAATAATTTAAATTGAGAAGTGAAAATCATGATCTTATTTGAAAAATGTGATAAGAGTAGACAGTAAGTCTCACTGAGACAGTATGAGACTACTATCTAATGTTAAAACCATGTAATGAAATCAGTTGAATTGATAATAAGACTATTAAAAAATCTGGTCCTGGTTTCAGACACGGTCACACGGTCAGTCTAGATGCAGTCAAGAGCTAATAACTCTATTAATTACATAAGACATAGAAATAGAGATAAAGAATTCATAAGAAGCGGAATTTCTTATATATCATTCTCTCTCTAAGACTTTGTCTGTGAAGTCTTTCACTGAGTGATTTCATAGAATCAGACTCAGCAGTGCAGTGATACTCATTAAAAATTCTTCACATCTATAAAAAATCTCAGTGAGGAAAAATCTCTTGTTACTGTGAAGAGAAAAGAGTTTGTTACTCAGATTCTTATTTCATAAGATTCTTTATAGTTTACAAATCTTTCTCTAACTATTATACAGATTAATCTCACATCTTTTATACAGAAAAGTTTCACTTAATCTTCAATTATTTTTCTGTGAGATTCTTATATAATCATCACACAGATTCATTTCACAGATAAATTACTTTCTATAAGATTACTCTTATTAAAGAGAAGTATTTATAAGTTGATCTTTTACTTATTCATATAAA